CACACAAAACCTCACAATAATCACATAACTTGAAATGCTGCTTTCAACACTAAACTTGTACTGCACCAACAATTGGCAACATGCATGCATAGGAAAGAGGATCACGAGGGGAAAAGGTCTTCCACATGTAGCTTTTCATTCTGTGTGTGATTATTGTGAGGTTTTGTGTGAAGTTTTAATTTTCAGCTATCACATTTCGTTAATTTCTTACTTTTTAGACGGGGTCCATGGACTAGAACACAATAACCTTTTTTAGAAAACTGCCATAAAGCAGTTTTTATTGCTATAATTTCTTTTGTTTTTTTCTGTCACCAATCAATGGAATGCCCTATATCAATCTCTCTCTTTGTATTGGCCGGTGTTCTCACTGTGCTATGAGATGCTGTAATAAATATATAAATAATAAAATATGTAAATGATGGCATTCACATCATATCAATACCGTATTATACGCATTGATGTGCAAGCCTTTTCTTGCAGAAAATGGCACTAGCATGTTCTTCTGCGGGGAAACATGTGAGTAGTGGTGGACCGTGGTGATACTTTTTTTAATACGGAGGTCATTCTGTGCATGTTGCTGTAGCAGAATTTCATGACTCTGTCATAAAATTGTCTTGCCTTTCAGATATTTCAGATTTTCCCACCCTCGATCAGATTTATTTGAGAAATGCAACCAGGTGCGTGTCGCAGATGGTTTTGTTGATTCTGTGTTTATAATGGTCTATAATCATGGGTTATCGTGATAAGGTCATCCTGCATCATAATTGCACTGAAATCGTAATCCTGTTGATGTCGATACAACTTTTGGAAGTAGTTCAATGACTTCAAACTGTTAGTCCGCGATTTTCTAAAACAACACAGCAAAGGAGGAACAATAAAAATGTATTAAAATGTAAACAAATACATTGCTGAGTCAGACACCTCGTGTAGAGCATGCAGATTCTTCAACCTTGTACCTGTTGCATTGTAGTCAAGTGCCTGTGTCACTGTAGCTTGGTGTGTTAAAACCTGTACAGTCATAAGACTAGTATCCTTTGCATGTGAAGTTCGAACCTACCTTTTTCAGAAGCTTTCCTTTTTTTCTTTACTTTCTTCCAATACATGTCTTCTGATTGGCCGAATCTGTGCCATCTCTCTATCTCCTGATTGGTCTAAACCGTTGCTCGTTGTTATGTGAAACCTGAACTCTCTTAGTCTTGGCACATATAAAAAGCTCTTGTCTCTGAAGAAAGATCATGGTTCATTTCTTCAACCACTTCTCCTTGCTCTGGTGAGACTTGTTGGTTGTTGTGTGCCCAACCACTTGGGCCACGCTACAACTGGTGGCAGCGGTGGATGTTTCGGTTTTTTTTTTCATGCTATGTTTTTGTTGTTGTGACAATGTGAAGTGATTCCTGGTTCGGAATGGCCCAAGCACAGCCTAACCAGCAAGTACCGCCGGCCCAGCCGCCCCGTCCTGCCCAGCCTGCTCAGCCAGCCCAGCCAGTTCAGCCAGCTCAGCCAGTCCAGCCAGTTCAGCCAGCCCAGCCAGCACAGCCAGTTCAGCCCGCCCAGCCAGTGCAGCCAGCCCAGCCAGTTCAGCCCGCCCAGCCAGTTCAGCCCGCCCAGCCAGTTCAGCCCGCCCAGCCAGCTCTAGTTCGACCCATCCGGCCATGGGCAACTCCGGAACGTTTTGATGGTGGAGCAGCCTCGGACTGGACTACTTGGCGTGACCACTT